CTTTTGATTCTATTCGTTTGTTTTTAATTTAGCTTTTTAAATGGAGTCTCAATATATGATTATATTAGCATTCTAAATGTTTTTTTAAAAAATAAATTAAAGATCTCAAAAAACCTTTCATAACTCACCCTTGAAACGTCTTTTTTTTGGAATTCTACTAAATTTTGTCACAGATGAGTGCCTCGATTAAATAAATAAAATAAATAGATAAATTATCTTTTATAAAGAAAATTAGCAATTTGTTGTCTGATAAATTGATTAAACGCAATCTCACACGATATAGTTCGCCGTTGCCAAATTTTTTTTATTTATCAAGTCACCTATTAAAGTAAAATTATTAGAAAGATTTTTTAAAATATATTTATATCATTTTCTGTATGATAGTATAAAACTGGTTAATGATGCTTACTACCTTAAGGTACTACCTATCAAATTTGAATTTTGTTTATTCATTTGGATAGGCACTACCAAATATATTTATAATATATATTAGAAAAATCGTGATTTTTAGAAAGCCTCTATGGCCTAGTAGGCAAGAGCTTCGCTTACTGATCCCAGGGTCGCGGGTTCGAATCTCAGGAATAATCATGTTTTTTTTCGTAATCTAACTTGGTGGTTCCATCCTTGGGGGGATGATATATAGAAAGCCGGACTCGACCACGTGATTCCGTTATAATATATTAAATAATAAGGGTCTTATTATATTTTAATAAATTTTGGTCGGTATTTACCAAATTAGGTTGGTATTTAGAATATTTCCATTCATTCACTTGGTAGTAAGCATCAACCTATAAAACTAGTGGACGACTAAAAAAAATTATGGGCCTGGCAGGGAAACCTATACAATAATATTTTTTGAGTTGGGCTGGGCAATTTGTGCAAAATGCATTTTTTTAAACGCGGAATAATACAAATTTATGATAGGGGGCAATTGATGCATGGGTCACGTGCGGCTATTGTTGTTTCGGGAAAAGGTTTTTTTTGGATCGGGTCAGGTTGGGTCAAAATAAATGTGTATTACAAAGTATCTAGCTTGAAAATATCCAGTTGCATGAATTCTGGTATCATAGACATACTATATACATAGACCGCTTAACCAGCCAAAAGAGAATGGAAGAAAATAATCTTTCCGTATGAATTAAAGATATTACGATGATAATTATTATTATTCATAACATGGGTTGCTAGGTAAATGTTAATCTATTATGGTAGATTTTCGTAATAAAATATGATAATTATTTTAGAGGGAATTGAATTTTTTTTTGGGGGGGGGGCATAATGATATGTTTGTATAAAAATTTAAATTATATGAGTTTTTGTGCATATTTCTAAAATTTTAAAAATGTGGTGGTTGAGTTGAGTCATTTTGACTTTAAAAAAATGTGTTTTTCTTTGTCTACTAGTCAATATGGTAGACCTGATATCCCCCTTCATAACTAACGTAAATTAAAATATTTGGGACACTTATAAAATATAACCTATCTTCAGTTATTCAATTATAAAAAAAAATAAAAAATTTTCAATATTTTTTATAGAATAAAGTTTGATAAAAAAATCTTTAAAGCATTTGAGGATGTTTTTTTGCCCCAATTAAGCAAAAAATCTTTGAATTTTTAGAATTTTTTTTTAAAAAAATAATTTGTGATTTTCATTTATGGGAGTGCGCACGTAATTAGACCAAAATTTTTATAAATATGATTTCGAATTTTGGGTAGAATTTGATCAAAAATCCTGATTTAGCATTCTCAAAAAAATCTGAGAAAAACATTTTAAACTCTGAAATAAGGAAAGTATTAAGTAAAATAATTAATTAGGGCGTTTTTTGTATTTGGTAATTAAAGAGAAAATTTATTCGAGATCTGTGTAGCTTTACTGACTTTTCAATACGATATTAGAGTTCAAAACAGAATTTAGTAAATTAGCAGCAACTAACATAATTTAAATGATAATTCCTAGATTATTCATTTAAAAATAATAGAAAGATATTTTTTTTTAATATCTTAATCCAAGATTTGTATAAACTTGTTTACCATCTGTAAGTTCTTTATACCCATAAAAAAGCTGGATAGTTTTTATATTTTAGTTGTGTATAAAAATTTTGCCGCAATGTGGCGTTAATTATTCCTTAAAAATGTAAAACATTTAAAAAAATTTGATTTTAGACTGGGGTTATTTTTTGGGAAATGAAGTAGTATTACATTACCTTTTAGAGTAGTTTGAAATTAATGGTGCCAATTTTATCTATTCAACGAGGGTTAAAAAGGAATTTAAAAACTTTATTTTGGTGTTTAAAGTTTTTGATAGTTAAACAAAAACATTGGGAGTAAATTTAAAGAATAGTGCCAATTTCTTTTTACTCTATGTGGGTAATATATCAAGATTTTCAAACAATAGATTATAAGTTTGATAAAAAAAATTTATATTCTTTAGCCTACATATAAGTCCAAATTCATTAATTTCGTTTTTACGACCTATGAGACCAACCTCACATTTGAAACCTATTATCATTTTTTAATTTAATGATTGGCATCCTTTCTAAGTGTGTAACATTTTAAATTAATTTTAAATACTGATTTTTTTTTATGAGGATGGCAATGAGATTATTAGTAATATTGAAAAGGAAGTTACCCTCAAAGGCTGTGATTTTTGTTTAACCAAGAGGGGCTATTAATATCTAGAAAATTTTAAATTTTGGCAGGATAGAACCGTCCCAAATATGGTTCAAGATACGAAAATTAAAACTGTTGATCATAAAAAGATGTTGCCTCTAATAGGATATTATTAATTTTTCGTTGTTTGAAGAACGTTATATTATTATTCTTAGTTAGCAAAAGAAAAGAGAAACACTGATAAATTATTATAGTCTTAAAAACGAGATCACCAACCTCATTATGTCGCATTGCCGTACTTTAATTTAAAAAATATATATGGTGTCGCTCTTACCTTCATTTAGGGCCTGAATATTTAAGGGGGGAGGAATAGTGGATATTTTTTTTCTAGTTTTTAATTTAAAAGTATCGGCATCCTTATTTAATCTTATATTAATTATTTCTATACAAATATTTACAACGTTTCTTCAAAATTCAGAGCTATTGAGATCAGTCTTTCTTAAACTTATACGTTTTCGTTATAGGTTTTTATTCTCTTAAGAGCCAAGAACGAATACTCACATGAGCAAGTACAACATGGAAAATTTGCTTCCTAAAGCACATAAATTTAAGAGATGAGGGTGAAACTTTTATAAATCTTATTTTAAAAAAAACTGATTGAATTCCAAATGGCATATTATGATATATTCTGATAATAAAAACTCTTGGAATTTTTTTTCCCATTTCATTTAAGGGCCCATTGTAATGTTATGAAGATTTTTTGGGGTATTAAAATTCGCAGAAAATTTAGTTCTATATCTTATTATATATGGATAATTTTTGTGTAATATTGTTAATTAAATTAACTTAATTAGTATATACGCCTTTGAATTGCAGTTAAAGCCACGGCAATATCTAGAGAAGATATTTGGAATTATAAATACTTTTCCTTTGTCAGCGGGCCTCAATATCATTAATAAAAATTATATAACCTGACGCATGGCCCAAAAATATGAATGTTATATGTATTTCCTTTCCTAATCTTCCTTTTTTTGCCAGATTGAATATCACGATTGCAAAATAATTTTTTTTAAAAAAAAATCGGGAGGTGGAAATTTTTAGTGATCCGAACCGTAACGACTATAGGTTCGGTTCAGAGAGATTAGGCTCGGTTCCTAATAAAAAAATTCGGTTCAAGTAACCTTTAAAACCCGGTTCAACCCCTTTCAATTACAGTTATATTGGAATTATTTACGAACACATTTTTTTTAAATTTTACCATTTAAATTTATAAAAGGAACCAAAGCTTATTTTATTATTATTGCAATTCAAATATTTCACATTTATTTACTCTTAATATACTTTCTCTTGAAATATTTTCAAGAATATCTTCGGTTAAATTATACCTATAAAGAGAAAGGATATATTTATGGCTAGCACTTCTAGAGGTCAACTTATAAGCTGGCACTAGTTCTGTTAAGAAGCCCGATGCCCATTTTTTAAACTGCCCGATTAGCCAAAATAATAATAAGCCTGAAGATATTGTTCATAGATGGCAGAAAGGTTGGGACCTCTATTTTCTTCAAATCTCGAGGCTTATAAAATATTATTTTGTCTAAAATCGTAATCGAGCCTTTTTGAAAATCCACCCTAATCGAGATTTTTAATAACACTAGCTGGCACCAGCAATGTATAAAAATATATCTAAAAATTACAACTGATAATTAATAATAATTTTTATAATATCACAAGCCGGTTATCACTTTTTAGAGGATCGGGTGACAAAATGTTAGAAGATTTAGGCTGGGATCCCTGAAAATTTTTCATTTCCGTATATTATATTTTGTAATAAATATAATAAAATATATAAACTAATTAAATTATCAAAGTAATCACTGAATATTCGAATTTAATAATTTAATGCATAACATTAAAATAGGGAATAAAATAAATATTTGTTTGAGTATATATCTTAATTCTACTATTTATCTGGACCTGTAGGTAGGTATTTGGCCATCAGGTTGCAGACGGGCTTGGGGCGGAAAAAAATTGATTTTGCAGATCACTAGTAGACAGCATAGTTAAATATTCACTACAGTATATCTTTTCTTCTGCACTATTAAGTTCAAGTATAGTATATGATTAAAATAGAAACATTCATAAAATCAATTATTTACCTGATTTTTTTTATTTTGAGCACTACAAAATGTAGGTTTTTTTCCCTAGATCATAAGATGTAACTTTTTTGAATTTTTTAGACAGATCCAAAATTGGATTCAAAAAAGTCACTTCACTCCCTCCCACTTTTATTAAATATTGTTCTCGTAACTGTTATCATTATTTAGGGAAAATCAAAAACTTAAATTTTCCTTTGACCATATTATTTAAATATTTTAAAATAATTTTTTTTAGTGAGTCATAAATCATCGGACAATAGTTTATATTCCGAGAGGATCAATAAAGCTTCCAATAAAATTGACACGGACCCTTACGATATTGAATCATGGAATATTTTACTGAAAGATGCCAAGGTTTTCCAAAAAAAAATAATTATGTAAAAAAAAAGGAAAGGAAAAATTTTAATTTAAAATCAATAATTTTAAACGATAGTCTTAAATGGACCGGTCTTAAATGTGCCAATAAGTCTATAGTTATAGCATTTAAAATCAAAATGTTTGATTATATAAATTATTTTTTTTTCGTCGTTAATCTTAAATCAGAGCTACACGATACGTTGAATCGGATCGGAACAAAATAAACCTTTATTCACTTTAAAAAAAAATGTAAATTTTCCAATAGTTAATATCTAAGTTATATATATATATAAATAATACTTTTATTTTAACTCAATTGAAATTAAAAAATAATTTATTGACGAGACAAGATGAAAAGAAATCATACAAGTAATGTCTTTTTCAATCGCCAATTTTAAAATGAGATTATCTCAAGAATCAAGGCAAACCTGAAATTTGGAACATATACTACTCAAATTCAAAAATAACGCCAGTTTTTACCTTTGGGATACAATGCAATATTAAACCTTTTATTAAAATAAAATAAAATTTATTGTCATAATTATAATATAATATACATATTGCCCTTGCGTATATAAACGAGAATTGTTTTTTTTATAAAGGTTGAATATGTTAAGAGTTATAGATTAGCGCAAACAAAATTATCATCTTTATTAAAAAATATTGATAATTTCTTTGTATATTTAGTAATTAATTGTTTCCAACTAAAGTAAGGTTACCTGCACAATTTTCAGTGATAAAGTCCCATATCAGGACAATTTGAGGAATTTAATCATTCGACTTAGATAATCAGGATGGAATGCTTCATTTGTCAGCATACCAAATTATTAAGATTACTTTCAAATTTCAATATAAACTCAGACACGTGGCTGAAAACAACTTTTGACCATTCAGTAAAAGTTCAATCTTTAAACTTCTTTGCGGGATTTTATCTTTCTTTTGGTCTGTCAAATTTCATTAGCTTATCGTTAACCTTAAAAAACCCAGTTATTGTATAAAAATGAAAATTACTTTATAAAAGTTATAGCCCAACTAATATCGTTCTGATGCAGGTAGATGTAGCCTCGTTTCTCACAATTTTTGAATAAAGTGAACAAGATTTGATCTGCTATTTTTTCTGTTTGTTGTAAACTGTAAGGATGTTGTCAACTTTGAAAGCCCTTGAGGCTATTGCTCAGATTTGACGAGATCAATTAATTGTCTCTGATCTTTTCTCTGCTTAGGTAGTGGCTTTCAACTTTGGGGCTATTCCACTAATCGATCACGATTCAGCCGACCCCTTTTAGAATTGTTAAAAATATCTGGAATTATTGAGATAGGTAAAAAAAATGAGAACGTTTATTTTAGCTCGCTAGCATACCTTGTTCTCAAGATATAGAGGCTCATAGGTACAAAAAAGAGTCACTTTGGAATCTGTAAAATTTTTAAAATGCTAAAAACTATTTATAGTAAAAAAATAATATAATATATCATATTGTAGGTATTAAAAAAAATAAAAATTAGCTCCAATTTGAGTCTAATTTCCGGTTTACCTATATTGCTTTATCTGTATTTTTAAGAATAAAGGGAGTTTATTTTTGAATTTTTTTTTTGATTTTTACTTACTTAGACCCTTTTATAAATATATAAACGGTGTCAAAACCTTGGAGACGCTATCGACTCAAGAAAAAAATGGATGGCGCTTTATGAAATTACGGATTATGGTTAAAATTTTGTTGCTAACTTACCAATAACAGGATATTTACACTTTTTATATTAAAATATTTCGAATTTCTATTGAATACACTAATAAAACTGAAAGGCAGTATGGGCAAATGCCCACTAGACACTTACTAATGTGACAAATTTCAAATAATAAATATCCTTCGTATAATTTTTTTATTATCCATTTTTATTAATAATATAGAAATATAGATAGATAATCATATTCATTTCATAATAAATATATTTGTAACATCTATTTAGTTAGATATAGATAATTATATATTTTAAGAAAATTAATTAAAAATATGAATAGTTTTAATTGCCTGATCATTGTATAAAGCATATGTTCGTCCTGTAGCAGTTGAAAAACTGACCACATCTAAAATTTATGATTTATGTAACCACAATTTGACAATCAAGGAGGGATATGTATAAGAATTTGAAGGTCCTTGAGGATGAAAATAACTAACTAACACCTCTTCGAATTTTTTTCTAAAACATAGGTCATCCACCATTGATTGTCATAGATGCATGTTATATATCCATTTATTTTTTTTATATAGTAAATTCGCATTAATATTTGAGTAAAATGTTATATTTAATATTTGCGATTCTGTTTTTGAATAAAATTTTGCATCAATTTTATTCTGAGAAATTAGATGAAAAGTATGAAATTTTTGCCTTCCTGGTATTGTACGCGCTTTATTGCTCTCTTTTAAAATTATTTGCTCTTTTCTTTGACTAATAAGCATGTCTTTATAGATTAAATGGGTGGCAACATTTGTAAATGTACGTCCATCTGTGATATAGAATAAAATTTTAATTGATCTCCACCTGGAATATGTTTTAGCACTCTCCAAATCCCGGATGTTATTAATAAACAGACGATAAAATAATAAACTGCAGACGGATTGAATTATTTAAAATTAATCTGAACGGGCAAGTTAAAAATATTATGAAGAAAGAGAGATTGTTTTAAACAGTTTATTTTGTAAAAATAATATGCTCGTAAAATATAATTGATAATATGCCTAATAAATTTTTCTTTTTTAATGCAGCTGTTATACATTATCGAGCTATTAAGCCATTCGCTTTAGTAACAAGTAGAGATCTAAAAAAAGTAAAACTTTTTAAGGATAATTGGGAGGGGGGTGGGCAGAACTGGAAAATTTTATCACATTTCATATAAACGTATCAATATTTTCAGTTTCCTTAAGAATAATATTTTTCAACCATAATCGATACTTTCATATTTTTCCAATTTTTGGTAAAAATGTATATTTCGGGAGTCGATAGCTTCGCCAAGGTTTTGACATCGTATATATATTTATAAAAGGTGTCTAAATAAAAGTAAAAAAAAATTCGAAAACAAACTTCCTTTTTGCTTAAAAATACTGGTAAAGCAATATAGATAAACCGGAAGTTAAAGATTCAAATTGGCGCCAATTTTCACATTTTTATGATAGCCGTTTAGAGATTTTTACCTACAATATGATACATTATATATTTTTTAATATAAATAGTTTTTGAGATATAAGTATAAAAATTTACAGATTCCAAAATGGCTCTTTTTTGTACCTATGAGTCCTACTCGAAAATCAGGTATACTAGCGGGCTAAAATAAACGGCTTTCTCATATTTTTACCTATCTAAATAATTCCAGAAATTTTTAACAATTTTAAAAGGGTTCGAACGAAAATATGCCTTTTTTGATCGATTTGACATGGAATGGCCCTTTGGCTGAATTATTCATTCCTTTTTCTTTTAAATCACAATTTTCTCCTAAATATTTTGATCAGTTTGAATTCCTCAAGGCATTTGAAATTAAAATTCAAAAATGATTGTGAACCTTGTTTTGCAGATGGCGATGATCTTACCTTCACTAACATTAGTTATGACCATTTAAAACAATGAATAAAGTATTAAATTCAAAAACGGCGTTATTTTTGAATTAAAATAGTATTCTATAAATTCATAACTTCAAAATTAGTGATCCAAAATAAATTATTTAATCATAATCTTGAAACTCACCTTAAATTACCATATTAAAATTATGTAGGGTCAAAATGTAACTGTATACATGGTAAAAGAGATAAAATGTAAAGGCGGCGTTATTTTTGAATTTGGTAGTAAATTTCTTATAAGTCACAACATCTTAATAAACGTAACGTTAACAATAAAATAACTTTATAAAATAAACAAACGTAATTCAAAAAATAAATATCTTGAAACGGGTCTTAAAAAAATCGTAAATATACATTTACAAAAATAATTAAGTATCAGAATTGGTGTTTTAAGCGCCATCATATTTTTAGCCTATGGATCAAAATCTTGTTTTATTACCAGCTAATATATTGCTATAAGTTCTATATTAGTTGTATAAGATTCAAGAGAGAGAGAAAAGGAAGTAAAATTACAGTAGCATGATAATTGAGATAGATCATCTTTTTATTTTTAAATTTTATTTTAAAAATAAATAAACACATGATGCGTTTGTATAATCTGAAAATTAACTCTTTGAATTATTTAAACTAAGAAAATAAAATAATCTATAATTTAAATAGTTCACCATAAAAATATATATTTTTTTATTAAAGACCAAATCCATAGAAACAGCGCGTGAAACATTTGAACGCGTGATAACACAATTTCCCAATCAAGGCAAGTTTTGGAAGATATATATCGAAAAAGAGGTAAGACCTTAAAATATAATTTGGCTTTTTAGAATTTTTAAAAAAATAATGAATTTATAACGACATTTATTTTAAAGTAAATAATAAGGTCGAATAGGATGAAGGTGCTTGTAAAGATATACTTAATAATGAGATTCCGATTAGATTTTAGGTTGCATAATACTTGTTCGGTAAACGATCTATCTCCAGATTTATCCCGGTAAGCTAATTGCCGCTTTTAATCTCCTATCTCTGATTCTGAACATCGCAACTTATCAGGATTGAGTTTCTAATGAACCTTCGCTTCTCATGCAATTATTTTTAAACCTTTTTCATACCTCTCTCCCATCTAAATATCTATCATCGCTATCAATACAAGATCACCAGTACACAAGAATATCCACAGAAGTTCTTCACACATAATAGCAATCAGCTCGTTTTAATTTAAAACCTTCGTTATCTTCATCAATCATTCTAATCACCATTCATGCATCATCGTCAGGACAACTAACTAATACTGTTTGTCTCAGGGCCCACTTATTATTCTCAAGCGGCATCTTAAACGTCTTCTCGATGTCTGCAAATTCGTATTTTAGTTTTGTCCCCTTCGCTTGCTGCGTATCAAGTCAAATTTCTTGACATCTTTCACTTATTCCTAAACCTTTTTTTTTCAATATTCTCGACCTATTTTTAATATATTCTATCATTTCACTTATTCTTCCTGTACCATATTTCACGTCGCGATTCATACACTTACTATCTAAACGCATTCTCCGCAGAATGTCAAATCATCTAGGGCCTTTATAAATATCATTTTTATGCGCAATGGTCTTGACCTGGTTAATGATTCATTTTTGTCGTGTAGGATCCACCATTATATCGTTGTGTTAATAGTGTATTAAAGGTTTTTACTACCATATGTCCCATCAATCCCGCCTTTTCAGCCATTGTCGCTCAAGTTAACATTAATTCGGTGTTTAATGTCATGAAAACATCTTGCAAGATTTTTAAGTGTCATAACATCAAGAGCTATACTTGGGAAACATAATTTTAGTAAATCAAATTCAATCATTAATAGATCTATTTCTATCCGATTATCTTCTTATACCCTATTCTCTCTTCTGGCTTACCAGCGCTAGCCACCCCCTTTATTATATATGATATCAAGAGTTGTGGTGTTTTATAGGTGTAGATATGCAAGATTCATATTCCGCCCACATACTCAAGCTCATTTAACGCTAGCCTGACTTATTTATTTGTATCAACAGCTTTAAGGTAAGGTAGCCATTACCTAGCGTCAACTGAAAAACCTGACTTGAGGTTTTAGGAAGGACATTTTGTAATCAATGTTTTTGGTATATGCCACTCAGGTTTTCAGAAGAGTAATTTTTAGGACAAATTGTTGGAAGTGGCATCAGGTATGATGTATTTAGGAAAAAAGAATAACCTGGGCGGAGATCTGCATCAACATATTGGAGCATATGTTGAATCGTCTGATTGATATCTAATTCGAGAATTTTTGATGTATTAAATCTTTAGGATTTTTATATAATTCTCTAAACTATAGTTTTATATATTTATTTTATTATTTAACATTTTTTAGTTAAAAGCCAAGAACTATGAAAATGTCGAAAAAGTATGAAATAAGCTTTATACATTTTAAAAATATATGATAAAGTTAGAATATAATAATATATATTAATATATTATTTTGGATATTTAACAGTTATTTCAGCGATCTTTGGTCAAAATTTTGAACATAGACCTGTGGATATGCTATTTGAATTACGTGAAACAAGCCAAAGCTAATCAGCCCGGATTCAAGTTAGCCATAAAAAATGGACACCATTTATTAAAGGACAGGGCTAGGTCATAAATTTTTACAGGCCGGACAGGTCAACAATTGCTAAATATTTTTACGGGCCGAATATTTTAAAAGTTTTATGAGGATTCAAATTTATGATTTTTTCTTTCACAAATTTGATTTTACCCATCGTGCTGGAAAAAAACATTAAAAACATCTTAACGAGCCGAACCCGTATCTTTACCTAACAGTCTTAGTTCTGGAATTAATTCGGGGGTTTAAAAAAAATGGAATATATTATAACATATGTTTTTTAAGACAAGTTGGCCCATTTTATATCGCATATTGTTTATTCATTTTTTTTCTGTTTTATTTTTATAAAATTTATCAGAGAGAAACTAGCCCAAGCTTACGAATTCGCGCTTGAAAAAATTGGATTGGATTACAGATCCTATCCTATATGGAGTGGGCAGATCGATTTTCTAAAGACCATGTATTTTTAAAAAAAACACATCTTCGATATTTTTTTTTAATATTTAACATTTTTTCCCCCTTTATTGTCCCAAATAATTAATCACAGAAACATTTTATTTCGCAATATTTAAATTTAGATTAGAATCTAAACCCTAAAAACGGAATATATTGCTTTTTTAAACAATTATTATTATTATTTTTTTAAAATTTATATTTTTTTATAGGGGTTTTTTTGTAAGTTTTATAAATTATGTTTGGGATTAATGAAATCAATAATTGAATTAATAATAATAATAAAATTATGAATGATTGTATACGATGACTATTAAGCACTAGAGTTGGTATACCATTTCCAAAGCCTTGAATTCTATAGACTTGATTCGGTTTTTTGACCAATAGTAGATTTGTCCTAAAAGAGATACTTTAAAGGTGTGAACATTGCTAAACTTTTTAAATCTGAAATGTTACGCTCGTTTTTAGTAATTGTTACAACTTCAACGAATTTAAGTATAATATGTAATAAAATATATTTTTTAAGAGACGCAGTCGGATCTTACGCCGAAAATCAACGAATCGCTGCCATTCGCAAAATATATCACAAGGTTTGCGTCACCCCGTTATTCAATATGGAGCAATTCTGGAGGGATTATATATCTTTTGAACAAGTTTAAAAAATATATATACTAAGAAAACTTTTTTAAATACAAATTTATATATATATTTGATTCTTTTTTTTTAATCTGTAATTTTTAATCCTAATTCTATAAAAAAAATACACATCATATACCAGAGCTATTCTTAGTCGTTTGGCGGCCCAGATCAAAATATTTTGGGCGGCCCAATTTAAAATCAAATTGCCTAGGATTATGTCAATTTTTCAATATTTTATTCAAACCAAGAAAAATAAATGATACAGAAAGCAAAATCTTCTATTAAAATTTTTGTGAGTTATAACATAAGTTATTTCACAAACATGCGTAAATTGCTAAATACATTATGTTGAGGTGTTCAACATGATACTTAGTAACATTGTTATTATCTCAAATCAGGGTTTCCAGATATTCTTCACTTGAAAACGTGAGTTTTTCTTTTACAATAATTAATGGGGGACTTCGCCCCCCCCCCATATTCCCCAATTTGGGTAATTGATGTAGCATACTCATCTAAGTTAATATTTTATATTTAATATAACTAGATTATAAAGACAATGAAAATTCTTTATTGATTTACTAATAACAAAACAATTATGATATATAATTTTCTCATGTTTATAAATATAGCATAATATTAATTATTATATTTTATGGATGATTTTAAAAGAGGCCATAAAGATATACCATCAGCACTGTGGAGATAGGCTGAAAACTCTTTGCATGAATAGTTATATTTTGTTTTACAATAAGTTCAGCTTCAAATGATGACGTTCTTTTCGCCAAGCAGTAGTCATTAGACTGAATATTCTCTCTGATGAAGAATTTGAATGCGGAATAAATTGCATATTTTCTCTATCAATGGTGAGTTTTTATTAGAAAGAAAATCCATCCATTTTTCTTGGGTATCATGTGATAGTTTTTTGATAATTTTTTTTCATAATAGGAATAAAATTGTGAATATTCTTCAAAGAGAATTTCTGTATCTATGTTTGGTATTTTATAATTACTAATAATTTTTTGTAATTGTTCAAATTCTGGACATTATTTTAATGTCATGGGATTAAGATATTTCCATATATTATCTATAATTAACGTTTTTCAACATATTCTATAATAATTTTTAAAATATCTTTGATTCATTTTTGAATTTATTACCTTTCCTACATCATTATTATGTTGTAAAATATTTTTAGAAATGCTCCCATAAAAATTTTGTTGAATTTTTAAATTTAATGAATTCTTTAATTTTAGGATAAGATCATGTATATATATTGCTAATACATCTTAAGATTGCAATTGTAAATTTATGTTATTGACTAAAGTGCCAACTTTAAGGACAACACCTAAATATGCCTCTGCAAAATCATCTCCAAAAATTATTTTCAAAATTGGTGGGGTTGCTAATAATGATAAAAAATATTCTTTAAGTGGTTGAAAATACTTAAGCATCCGCTTAATCGCTGGGATTAATGTAAGCCAGTGTGCTGGAACATGGCGAAGTGATTCTGACCATTCTAAATTGCACCATTCTACAAATTCTTTTAAAATTGTAACTTTTTTTGTCGAGTTGCTAAATTCATTATCTTTCAATATCATATTTAAGAAAAATTATGGCCATTTTAAACGAATTGTGAAGAATGTGGCATATATAACCCATTGGTAGTATTAACTATGGCTTTTCAATTCTGCAAATACTTTAATTTTTCTCAAAGTTTGCAGATGCGTTATCTGCACAATAGGCCGTTACATTAGCAATATCAAGTTCAGCGAATTTTAAATTTTCTAGCAAGCATCTAGATATGTATTTAGGGGTTTCACTGTCAGACGAAAATTTTTGAAGTAATTAAACATTTATTCCATTCTTTTTGTTGAAGTATCTAAGTAATAAGGGAATGTTTTTATATTACCTTTATTCTATGAATCCGTTAGTATTGAAAACGGATAATTGTTTTTTAGATCTTTTATAATATTTGCCTTTAATTTATTTCATTTAAAATTTTACGAGTTTTAATATAAGATTTATAAAATCCATAAAAGAAATGTATAGTTACTTAAATTATATTATAATTATACTTGATAAACTTTCTAAAAATTGAATGTCTGTTGTGGGTAATTGATCAATGAATATGATTGGTTAGTTGGACTATTAACAAATACTACAATTTTTTTAAATATTTTATAATAAAATTAATTTAAATTTTATATTTAAAAATATTTTTAAAAAATTTAAAAATATTTAGAAAAAATTTAAAAACGTGAGAAAAAGTGTGAGATTAATTTTGATTATTTTAATTTACTCAAAAAACGTGAGAAAAGCGTAAAGTGTGAGAAAACATGGGTAAGTAAAAAATTAGGTATGAAATCGTGAGAATCACGGCTAAGTCGTGACATCTGGCAACCCTGTCTCAAATACGTTTATTTATTTTATTGGTTATTATTAATAATCAATATACGTTTAATGATCAATTTGTTGAAACTTTTAATTGAATTATTAGCCATTTCCATGTATCGTAACTACAAACATTTGTTGAGGATTAGTGGGCGATCGTGTAATCTATAATGACCGAATAATATTTTTCATCCACGCTATATTATTAAAATTTATAGATCCAAATATTTTGGTTATTTAATAAAAATATTCTAAAATTATATTTTTAAATTTCTCGGCCCTCAAATGTCAAATAATTTGTCAGCTCACAACGATCTACTCGGCAATCATCCCGTAAATACGTCTATGCCACATACATCGTTTTTTTTAAAAAAAATAAACAGCTATTTTTATTTTGATCTTTCGAATGATTAAAAACAAAATATTGTAAATGACCGAGGTTTAGCCTTAATGTAAATCATCTAGATTTTATTTTAATATGTATTAACACTAAATTCATATTTATTATTTTATTTAATAAAATAAAGCATGTTTTAAATGAGATATTCTTATAATTATTTTGATGATTTGGGGAGACATATGTTCTTGAAAAATCTATTCAAACCTCTAAGCTGATTTGGAATCGGCTCGAATAGGTTATTTAGCATCATCGAGTATACAATTTTAAGGTTCAAAAAATTATTTCCATTGTTTTAAGCAAATTCGATTAGAATTATTTTCATACATCCATTATTAATAAACGGTTAAAACATTTATAATTCACAAAACATTTTTGTATACCTTTTTTTATAGGCCATCAATCCGTTGATAGCGAAAAGATTATCGGATGAACTGAGCAAAGAATACATGAACGCTAGAAGGGCTCTTAAAGAAATAGAAGCTATAACCAGAGGCCTTAATAAATACGCGCCTCCTGTACCTTTCCTAGGCGCAGCTCAAATTAAACAGGTTTAACTAATACATACCTGTTAAAAGAAATTCAAATGAGGAAATAGAAAAAAAAATAGACGAAGGAGAAGAATTAGGAAAGAAATAAAATGCGACAGATATGCGCCTTCGATACCTTTTAGACATAGTTAATCAAATAAAAGAGTTAATTAAGAAAGAAAGAATATGGAAATGATTGAAGGATGATATGAAAAAATTATTTTATTATATGATTAATCAAATTAAACGCGTTTCAGCGAATTAATTTTTTTTAAAAAATAGGCATGAAAATGTTAAAATGATTTTAACTGTTAAGGGAAGGATAGAATATTGGAAGTAATTTTGGAATCAATTTTTTATTATACATAGATCGAAATATGGAAAAAATATTTACAATGGGAGAAATCCAATCCCATGAACTACGATGATAAGAACATGGTCACCAAAAGAGGTTGATCATATTTATGCATTCACTCATTGATTTATTTGATACTCTAGTTTTCTTAATTTCATTTCTTTTATTTTTAAACTTATTTTTTTAAATTACTTAAAGTGGTATACGCCTACGAACAAGCGTTACTATCTATGAGTTACGTAAGCGAATTGTGGATAGATGCTGGTACTTACCTTCAAAAAGCTAGCAAACAATTATCTGATTACGGGGTAAAATGAAAATAAATATTTTTCCAAATATAATTAATTGTCTTAGAGTTTTTTTTTGAGATTTACTATATTTTGTAAACAAACCTTGTTAAAATGGTTAATAACAGAAATTAACATATATATACTATAATAAGACTAGGCCATATTGGAGCTTTTTATCGTTCAAATGCACAACGTTAGAATATCACGAGCAAAATATAATTTGGAAAAATTTAGATTTTGAAGTGTTGGCATATTAAAATTTTTATCGTCTGCTTACTAATTATATTAGGTCCGAATAATTTCCATATTCAAAATAATAGGTGTCTCGTATATATATATATATAATTTAAGAAAAAAATAATTTATATCATTCATTTGATCATTACTTTTTTGTTGTTACTTTTAGGATGAAAAGGGGGCCAAAGCTTTGCTGGACAAAGTCGGAGAATTATATGAAAGGGCAAATACAACTTTTTTTAAAACTCATCTTCTCATGCATTTCATCCAATCAGATTTCGAAGAAGTTAACATAAAAATGACAATTTAAGAAAAAGGAGTTAATTTTTTTTTAAATGAAGGAAAGAAAGAGAAAAATGGGGTTGAAAGAAATAAAGGTAGGAACTATGAAGAAATAAAAGAGAGGATGGAAATGAATGAAAGAAAGAAAAATATAAAAAAATCTATTTATTTAAAAAATATGTTAGATGCGCAAAAATCAATCTAAGGCGGGAGCCGTTTACGTTCAATTTTTGGATCTTAAACACAAAAGCATAAGTTCTAACGATATCACATTGGTAAATTCATATTTGATGAAAAGAAACTCTTTCTTTTACAAAATTTTAAATTTGTAAAATATTTGTTTTTTTTAAAAATTACGCTGCATTTATAGTAAACGCGCTATCTTTAAGCGTTGTGTTATTACAGCTGATTCAGTTTTAAAAACTAATTAGATAAATCTAAAATAGTTAATATATTTTATATAATATTTCAGAAATATATACCTTTTTATCGAATTCGCTTTAATTTTTAATCGCATCGCAATATATTTTCACATTTTATAGCGTTATCATCATAACGCTTCATATTTTTATATTTCTACCTATTTATTGGCTTTATTTTGCAATAACGCTGCTTTAAATAACGCAAAATATGAACAAAACGCATATACTATAAATGCAACCTTATACTAAATATTTTTTGGATATTTATTTAGTTATACATTATAGGTCTAGTGTTGTAAAACGATTCGATTTGAGCCGATTTTTAAAAACGGCTAACTCAATATACTATTCAGAAAAATATTATGCAAGCCTGAATATTTTGCTCATAGATGGCACAAAGATTTGGACATCTATTAGCGAAATCTCAATGCATGAGCAATATTTTTCTAGCTAAAATATGGAGTTAGCCGTTTTTAAAAAATCGGCTTAAATCCAGCCGTTTGACAACACTAGGTTTTATCAATTTTTTTATAAGGTGATAGATCAACACCATCAAATTAAAATATTTGAATTGCAATGTCAATGTCAAACCCTAGATTTTAATGAATATGTTCTAGATCTTGGGGTAAGGGTGGGGGGGGGGGGTTATATTTTTCTCTAAAAGAAACTTTTTCAAACATAAATAAGTTTGGTATCAGATATAAGCAAATAAAAAGATCCTTTGATTTTAAATAATGTTAATCATCATTCAAAATTATATAATTTGCAAGTTTAGATTTTTGGGAAATATAAATTTAAAATGAAATAAACTTCTCAAACGGTGTATCATAAAATACAATCTATATATATGTAGAAATATCGGTTTGGGTTATAAATTATTTTTTTTAAATGAACGATGTTTTAAAAGTAACCGTTGAATGAAGGTACGCTTTTTTTTTTTTTAAAAATTACTTTGCAAATGGAATTGTTTTGTGTTCTTAATCTCTTAAAATTTATCTCAAAATTATACTAAATTATTTTGTATAAATTTGATAACAAGATTTCGAAATATTTCTTATAATTTAAAATCTAATCAGGTTTTTTAAAAAATATTATTAAATATCAAATTTAAATCTTAACAAAATTTTCTATTACGATTTAAGACATTGAAAATAAGACATAAAATCGAACGTATTTTTCTTATAAATAAAAAGATGAAATAATGATGAATTCAAAACTTATTTTATTTCTTGTAAAAAATTTTGAACACTCGGTTCCCTTAAAATGCATATAATTTTTATCACAATCAGGCATACATTCAGTATATGAGGTACAGTAAGCGCACTGACGGAATCAAAGCGGCCAGAATTATCTTTAAGAAGGCGAGAGAAGACGCTAGGTGTAATTACCATATATTTATTTGCGCAGCTCTAATGGAATACTATTCTAGCAAGGTAAATTCTGATTTCCATTCATTATACATCAATTATATTCTCTTTTTATTTATTATCATTTATACCATACAAATCAAATAGCATTTATTTTTTTATTCACAAAAGAGTACAAGTTGATTTTTAACATTTATATTATATGCTTTCTCTTTCTTGGGAGAATAATGTGTTGTCAAGAGCAATATGATTTTATGAACCTTTTGATTTTTCAAATATTAATGATTGCATAAAAATATAATGATATTTTGAATATCTGCATTTTTTTTCTCTTTAGATAGTAAACTATTTCCTTTTTAAACTTCAAAATTCATTTTTAAATTTAAAGTTTTCTTAATATATATGTATATATTATTTTATTTTTAATCAAGGATAAAAATATAGCCTTGAAAATATTTGAATTGGGACTTAAAAAATTTTCCACGGAAATCAAATACTTGAAAGAATATATCAAATTTTCGCTTAATCTCAATGGTAAAATAAATAAATTATAGAGAAAATTTATTAGTATAAAAAAAACTTACATAAATAAGCTTTCCTTAATAACCAAAGATGCCTCACTTTTATAGAAAGAAAGAGAGAAATATAGTAAAATGAGAAAAAATTAACCTCTTTATTTTTTAATGCTGTATTTTAATGTCTTGCAGAGGATAATAACACGCGCGTTTTGTTCGAAAGGCTGCTGAGTCTAACCTTCGATCAATTATCTCCCGAAGCCACTTCGTAATTTTATTATTATATTTTTTCATACCTTGTCCATTTCATTTCCATATTTTTTTATATAATATGCTTCCTTATAAATAAAGTTTAAAATTTTTAAAGCTTTTTTTTCTTCTATCCTTGACCGTGATATCAATTTATTTATGAGCTTATACTAATTTTTAAAATAATTTAACAAAAATTGATATAAATTAATTTCTTCATTTAATGCTATTATTATAAAAGGAAGGAGGTAGAAGATTATTTATTTCTAGAAAGTTTCTCATAACCATATTTATAAAAATAGACAGTTATGATATATAGTTATTTTAAGTCACATAATATATAATGTTCCCATTTAATACAGTTAATAGATAAAAAAAATATATATAGTAAATAACCTTATGAAATGCAAGTAGCATTACGCATTTTGGGACTATACACACTTTCAAATTACTCTTATTCTAAGAGGAATAAGGGTTAAGAAAAATATAACATAAAGTTTTAATTGCACCCCCCTCCCCCATCACCGCCTTTAAAAGGTACATTTTTCTATATTTATTCGTGCATTATTTTCTTTTGACTTTTACTTAAAAATCTCTTCATTTTTTCTTATCTTCTAATTAAGAGAATTATGGAATATGTTTCTGCACTTTGAAATAGAGGTCGGGGATTTGAACAATGTACTCAAGATTCAACAGAGGCGATTAGCTGCTTCACATAAGGTTTTTTTATAATTTAAAACTTATTTTTCCATTTAGAGAAGAAATTGAATGAAGGTTAGGGGGAAAAAAAAGGTAAAGCGAGATTAAAAAAAGAAGATTGGAAAGGAAGAATGAAATGAAAAGTAAGGAAAAGGAACTTGTCATCGGAAAATTGGATTATATAAGTATAATGGGTTTTCCACAAAAATAATGAAAAATTTATTTGATATAATTTTTGATTATTATATATTTGGAAGGGAATTTTTAAGATCGGTTATTTTTAAATATTTTTTTCACTTATTCTCAGATAAAAGATGGCGACTCAGATATATCTCAATTGTTAGATAGGTACGGTTATGGTGATTTGATGCCTCACACTTCTCTCTTAACTTGCCCTCCATCTATCTCTCCTCATTCCAGCCAACTAATAACTTCAACCACAACTCATAATCCAACCAATGATTTAATTCCTGATGTAGAGCAAATGTTACCCTTTAAGCCTGCTAAATCTACATGTGATTTTTTTAAAAATTGAATTAAATGTTAAAATCCAAGACTTTTCATGACACTAGAGTCCCGCAGGGCCGGAGGTTGTAACATCAATAAAATAGAGAACCACCTTATGGTTGAAAAAATATTATCGTTATATTTTTTTCGGCCTGATCACCTTATGGTCGAAAAAAATATTATCATTATATTTTTTTCCTCCTGATTGAATATCACACTTATAAAACGAATTTTTAAAATTAGAAAAGGTTTTTTTAAAAAAAAAATTAGATGGGAAATATTTACTATTCATTTTCATATATAATATTATGTAATAAATAGAATAAGATTGATTGACATTTATATTAAAGTGATTGCTGAATATTTAGATTTTTTTCCTTATAAGTTTTTTAAAAAATTCGAGCTGCCATGGGCGGGCTAGACTGAAAAATGTTAATTTTGCAGGTCTAAAAAGGACACTCGAAGTGGCCCAATGATTCGATTTATAAAAAAAACATGTTCACAGTATTAAATGGATTAAACTTCATTAATATTTCTTTCATATATTCCTTATAGAGGCATGCAAATGCCAAGGCTTTCAGGTCCGACCCTGTTGAAATTTAGTTTTTACCCGGCCCTGTCCCTTTCTAATTTTTTTATAGTTGTCCGGCCTAGTTTTTTTAGTTGCAAAGCCTAACCCGAAATATATATAGTTAAACACCAAAATAAAAAACTATTTATAATATTGGGGAGTGATTAAATTAAAAACACCACATTTTATGTTCCAATGCCAAAATTCATCTATAATCCAGACCAATAATTGTTTGCCCGATCAGGCCCAAATAAATATTTTATCATACGTTACCCGGGCCAGGCATAGCAGACCTTTAATAATATTTTTACTAAAATAAAAAAATTTTTAAGATTTTTTAGATCATTAAATTATTTTATTTTTTTATAATATTCATTAGTTTACGGAAACGAATCACTTAATATTCCAGGAGGCTTGTACGCTTACCCACCAGCTGTCAATACTCTACTCGAGAAATTGCCTCCTCCCATGTCTTTCAGCGTTAGTTAATTTTTGAATTTAATTTTAAATAGTATATTAAATTACGTCGTAATTGCGCCAAAATTTACCGATCAGGAATAGTTTTTTAAAAAAAATTTATTAATTTATTTGTCCTGATAAATTTAATAAAACAACATTTCATATAGAAATTAAGAAAATGAATATAGTTAAATAATAATAATTTACTCAACTACAAAGACATATACCTAAACTTTTATTATGCTTGATTAAATAATATTTTAAATTTATGATTTTTAAAACTATCATAGAGTAAGTAATACACTAATTAATATGTTTTTTTTAAAAAAATATTTTTTAAAACAAGGGACCATTCGTTATTTTAGACCAATTTTTAACCACGCTTGCGAATTCATCTCTAGAAACTGGTATATATTTATTTCAAAAATTAAAAAAGAAAGTAGAATTTTTTTTACGATCAAGTTTGGGAACAAGGATTATTATAAATAAAAATTTATAGTTCAAATTTTAAGCCCTTTACACCTGATGATTTTGTGATTGTTTTTAAGATCAATAAAATTAAAAAATTTATTATCACCTATCCAATGATATATATACTACTAGATTCGTCCCAATTCATCCATTAAATGCATTTGAAAGTTTGCATATATAGGAGTCAGCTATAGCGCCACTTATAGTTTGCACATCGATTAAATGACATTATTATAATAATCGATAAGATACTTTCAAATCTAGGGGAGACCGGGGTAGGGATTGACGAGATAATAATATTAACGCGAATAACTTTTTAACAATTTGTCTATCTTTATCTTCTGAAAAATTTCATGATTCGACATATACCAAAAACTGTAGCTTATTTTGGTTCATAATTTACAAATTTGCATACATATTCCTTAAAGTCATAGCTATAAAATAAAAGTTTATAGCGATTTTTATAATATTTTACCTTGGCATAGAGTTTTTATGGGTAAAACGTAGTATATTCCTTCTGGTTAAAGCTGTAAAAGAATAATTTTTAAAACCTACACCATATAAAGAAAATATTTTTGAGCAAAAAGGAACATTAACTAATAGATTGTGTGTTATTTAAATATAATTTTAAAAATAGTTTGCAAAGTGGAAGAATAATTGAAATGTACGATATGCCTTAAATGGGGACACACAAAATATTATATACTCGTATTCTATTGATTAGTTTCTATTAAGGGTTATGAATAGGTGTTAAAATTTCAATATTTTGTTCAAAACAATAAAGTTATATCTAATTTTATTTTAGCAACTCTTTGCCATGATGCTTAGCCATTAAACCCTGGATATAGGGAAAAATAGCAAAAATGGCACAGTTCGCATAATTAATCATCGCTCCTAAAGTATTATAGGTAGAGGACCTAAATTGTAGATGAGGGATATATCTACATATAAATTTATAATTTGTTATTTTGTTTCAAAATTCTATGGTAAAAATGCAAAATATCGTTATCCCGGTTTCTCCTACACTTTTAATTAATGAATCGCCAATCTAGTAGTATTTATCTTAAATTATTTTGAATCATTTAACGATTATCTTATAAAACTCATTATCACCCCCCCCCCCCCCCCACACAGCCAAAATAACCAAACAATCCGAACAAGGAAACATAACTGGAAATCTAACAAAACAAATACAAATATCATCCCCAAAATCTTTCGCATCTCCTAAAGTAGTTACTACTCCGAACCCTTATAATGCACCAGATGACAATGATCATAACGCGCTGTATTCGCTAGATGATAATTCAGAAAATTATGCTAATACACCGCCTATAAATGACATATACCGATTGAGGCAGCAGAAAAAAATTAAATAATCCATATTCATATCATGTGTATATCTTGCCATTGTTATTCCTATTTACCCTTATTTAAAGATCTTAACGTTACCAACTTTTCTGGAGGAATTTTTTCTTCTCCATATATCTTTTATTTCAATCAACATTGCACAATAAGATATATTGATAAAATTATAAAAAATGGTAAATTTTTATAATATATCAATATATTTTATTTGCAGTTTAATATATTTTTTTTAAACATGTAAATACCCCCCCCCCCCTATTGTAAATAAATATTTCCTGTTTTTACACATTATTTTGTAAAAACATTATATTTTACTTTTTAAATGAAATATATTTTTATATTGGAAAATGTGATATTATATTCCAGACATGTGTTTGAAAATTTGAATGTACGCTATATTAGATAATGAACAAAAAAATTATCCAAAGGTCCGTATTAAATATAATTTTATAATGAATATCGATAATTATTGAATAAAAATGTATAAATTTCTAAAGTAGAGGTGTACCTTGGTTTAGAAACATTATTTAATTAAGGTATATAACAGTTTTTATTTTTATATTCATTTGATGTGTTCCTATTTAAGAAAAATAGCGGTTTAATTTACAATAGACTATGAATATATATTAATATAAAATGACATAAATTTAAAATTAATGTACTTTAATCAGCAAAAATAAGGATGATTTATATTTTTTACTAATAATTACATTTTGAAATTTTCTTAAACCTTTAGCAATCTTAAAATGGAAAATAAGCTAATTCTGAATGGTATAATATATATGAGTAAAAATATAATTCTATAATTTTAATTAATATTATTTTTTAATTTACAGATATAATGTTAATTAATATCTGACTTTATTTCTATTATTTTTATTACTGATCAGTGATCACTATTATTATTATATAGAATAGGATGTGGCTTTGAACCAAAATTATGATTTTTTTAAAAATTATTTAGGTTTACAATGAACAATAAAGGTTAAAGTAGAACCATGCAGTTAAAAGAATCTTTTTTAAACCAAAAATATGCATGTCTCTTTTTTCAAACGAATCTTTTTATCCAACATTCACACATAATCATAATCCTAGTAATTTTAATTTATCTAATAATGTTTTACAGAATTTTTAAATTCTTCCATTAACAAATTATTAATAAGCTAAATCTAAATGGCCTATATTGGCATTATCAATGGAAGAAATAAGTATCATTTATCAATAAAGTAACAATTAACATGAGTTAGATCTCTTGCTTCATTCTCCATAACAAAGCTGGGAAAATAGGAATATATGAAATACTGGCATAGTATTAAAGGTAATATTTTTATAAATACCTATGTTAACATTCGGAGGTCAGGTAAGTGTAGTTAAAATGCAAGTGTGTTTAAAATATATAATCTTCAGATCGTAAAGTATGAACGCTTATATTTTTTTAAAATTTTCTTTTATATCTTTGTTTCTCTTTTTATTTCTTCCTTTTTTCTCCCTTAAAATCTATCTCCCACTTTCACACAATGGGGAGTAAACAGCAATGCAGATAGCTGTGAGAAGTTAATTGGTAATTAATGAGTTAGAGATTCAGTGTAAATAAAACCGGAATTATTGGACGAAATTTTTTAATCATACCTCGGTTAAAGTGCATTTTTGATGACCTATATGGACAATATAAAAATATCTCAAGTCGGATGTTTAGTCAGAACTTCTGACTAAACAGAAGCATATTACATATTTATCATTTTTCCATAGTGGTCTTATATTATAGTTTTTAGATATAAAAAGGGTGATTTATATTCTATTATAATAATACACAGGAATGACACATTTATTTTTTACTTGACGATGGGTAAATCAAAATTTTGCCCTTTATTTGATTATGTATGTCATAAATTAACTTATTGACAATAATAAATAGAAAATAAGGTAAACAAAACTCTCATCTAGCAAGATTACATTTTTTAGGTCTTAAATTGCAAATAAATATGAAGTTTAAAATATTTTTTTATTGTCACATAAATATAATTTTTTGAGTTTGCAAAACCCTCAGCTAGCAGGATTAATTTTTTTACCCCTTAAATCACAAATACAAATGAGAAAATATTTTTAATTAGACAGTTAAGGATAATATTATTAGAAATTATGTAATGTATATATTGAAAATATACAAAAATGATCTAATTATTTGTATTATAACATAAATATAAATAACACATCTCAAAATAAAGGTAAATTTATTATATACACCTCATATAATAAGTTGATTTGACATCCAAAATCAAATAAAGGGAAAAATTCTGATTTACCCATCGCAAATAATGGAGAAAAGTGTACCGTCATTCTTGACGGGTTATCATCTAGTTATAATATAAAAAGCTATAATTTTTTGGGTTAATAAATTTATAAAAATGGGGAGTAATATTTAAAAATTGCATTAATAACAAATTCAGCAATCACTTTTATATATTTAAGCTTTATTAAAAATAAATTGGTAAATGAATCTTTTTATCTTAACATGACATACTGATAACTAAGATCTTCCTACCTATTTTTTATACATTCCTATCTTGATTCATTTCTTATTATATCAATATACACATTTTTTCCTAAAAATAATATAAATTTAGGTAAAATTATATTTCAATTACTAAATTTTTGTAGATGGTGAAAAATGATTTAGAACACTATTTTATTTTTAAATTAAAAAAATAGATTGTTATTTTATTTTTTTCAAAATTAATTATTTATATTTTTGATAAGGACACAGCCTTAAATATTAAATTTGATTGAATTAAAGCATTAATAAAAGATCTGCACTGCAATGTAATTCCAATTAATATTATTATTTTTTAGCATATACATATTTTTTATTTCTTAATTTACAGATATAATATTCTATTATTTTTTTATTGCTTTGGCTTTGATTCAAAATAATTAACTTTTTTTTAAATTATCTAGGTTTCTAATTAACAATAAAGCTCTTTTAAGTGGACCAATGAATTAAAAGAGAATTTTTTAAACAGCGCCAGATGAGACTGAACTGGAACGGACCGTCGGTCTGACCGGACCACTTCAAACACTATATTAGTCACTATTATAGACACAAGATTTAAAAAAATGGCATTTCTATAAAATATGGAAAATTCTTATGCCTAAAAGAATGATTTTAGAAATAATTATATTAAAAAAAATTATTTTTCTTTGTCTAAATAAAAACAAGCTATTCATTATTCATATTAAGAATATTATGTAAAAATTAATCTTTTTAAATTAAAAATCGTGTCTTATAAATGATTAAGTTTTAAGAACGACATATATAACCGGTATATGAATATCATTAAAAAATATTTTTTTGTTGTAAAATAAGATTTAAAAAAATGAATATAAATTAATAATATTTATTGATTATTAAAAAAATGGCCCAATTTTATAAATATATATAAAAATTATACATTTTGGAGAAATATAGATGCCCAAAGATATTCTTAAGAAAGATTAAAGGAATGATTAATATTATTATTAATAACCAGGAATTTCTCCACCTTCAAAAATAATTTTTCTTACCTGAATAACAAGGAAATTTAAAGCAATATCATATAGATACTTATTGATATTTGGCAACCTTTATAAAATTTGATTTTACTGATGGTCAGCCATATGTATCTAATTGATTACACCGACAGGTAACTATCAGGCATTAGCCTATACCAAAATTAATTAATTTTTAACGAATACTGGATTATATTTTTTAAAAAAAGTTTGATTGGCGAATATATTATAGTAGATCTTATGAATAAGTTACATAAAACGATATATGTATTATATTATAACTTTTTAAAAAAGTATTTTTTATCGATTAAATTATACATTTGAATGAAACATATTCTTGTTTTCCATACCAATGGTATTATTTTTCGCATATGATGTCGACAACCTAAAAATATTTTTAAAAAGAAAGAATTCTACCATATGCATATTTAATATGAAGCATATAAATTTTGTTATGAATATATGAATTACTAACACTTTGTTCCATCAAGATGGGATTGGTGCATCTGAGGGCAGCGCTTGAGAGTATCTCGTCCAATAAAGATTGAAGTATCCTAGATGTATGTATAATAAAATTATGTTTTAAATAATTTAAATTTCTTAGTCGAGATTTTGGACATGTATAATTTTATAAAGTTACGAAAGTTTATCAACTTTGAGGTTTTTTAAAATATATAAGTTCATAAATGAATATAACCCTTGGTAACTTTTGAAGGAAAATCAAATTAAGATATTTTAAGTTTGATCCCGATTCAATAACGCTATAAAGGTCGGTTGGTTAAATTTAAGAATTGAAGTTCAGGCAATTAAAAAGGCTTGTTCAGGTTTAACGGTTCAGTTTACTCTAGGTCCATGTGTTGTAAACGGTAAAAGCGTTCCTAAATAAAATTAGAACGTGTTCGCCTTTTAGCCTTCATATAATTAAAAGAGTTTAAAATTTCATTATCTCATTAAGGTGTTACTTTTAAATAGTTTTCTGCATGCTTCCCTTTCTGACTAGCGTATTATACTTTATTATCGTTTAAAATTTATTATGATTTTATAAATAAATATATCGGATGGTTTAAAACTCATATGATAAATCTTTGCTATGGCCTAATTACAATTTGAATTCTTTAAAACAAATATTAAAATAAAAATATTTAAACAGATTATGGAGCCTATAGCCACAGCATTTTCCAATTTAGAAAGTTATTTAACATGAATAATTATTTGGATAAATACATGTTTAGCTTATTGTCAACAAGTAGCAGATACGCTAAGATGGGATTGATAAAACTTAGCTTATCATTATAAAATAAAATTATGCTTATATTTCAATCTGCTTAGATTTAAGCATATATGAAGACCATTATATGAATAGCTATATAGAGAAAAATCTCTATTAAAAATACAGAGTAGTTCAAAATTTCACGGCATAAATACGTTTTCGAAGATCAGATTTTATGTTCAAATTCAAAATTTTTTTTTTACACTTAAAAATATAATATTATATAAATATATATTTTTTATATAACATTCTTCTGAGCCAGTAAATTTTCCCTTTTATGGCAGTTATAACACTGAGATTATATGATTCTGAATAAGTTTTTAAAAAATATTAGAAAACCAACTTTTCATTAGATACAAATCGCCAGAGGTACAATTGCAGATAATGCAAATCGACTTGTATTTGCTGAAACCCGTAAGTGCTAAGCGTTTTAAGCCTGATGCTCTCCAAAAATGATTTCAAGCTTTTATTTTTATTTTAGAAAAAAAGATTAAAAAATTAAATAACTTAAGTTAGTTATCTAACATAGTATAAAAGTAGGATGTATTGTAATGATCAAAATGTGTAAATCGTATATCATAACCTATATCCATTGGCCGCTTTAATTGAAATTTAACATTATTTTTTAGATGCATTTCTTGTAAATGTTTCTTATAGCTTAATTTTGTTTGTGTAGCTAATAATCGTCTGATTATGCTTGATTATAAGGGATGAGACCGAGTACTCATTAAAAGGAGGAAATATTAGTGGCCCTCGGAATTCTCGATATTATGGAACTAACGTCATAGTGTTCAGAGAGCAAAGTTATCATAATATACCTTTAAAATGTATCTGGATACAATAGATATAAAGGTATCTAGATATGACACACTCTCAGGGAAAAATATCTAGATATATAAAAAGAAATTTAAAAAAAGTATATACCATATTTTAATGATGCCAGTGAGGATTGAATTTTTGTTGAAATTAACGGGTTCGTATATGACAATTTTTTCGGAGAATATTTTGGATATATGACTGTGAAGTAGGTTAGGACGGCTTATTGTGCTTTAAAAAGTAATAATGTTATATTTTATAAGGTTATTCAACGTTATTTGAATAATATATTTGTCATAAAATAATACATCGTATTTATATTTAATATTATAGCTCCGAAAGTAATCAAAAACAAAGATGGGAAATTGATAATAAAGTAAAAATAAATAATGAATATTGAAAGAATATTTTCAGGAGCTTCTCAACTTTAATCCCCACATACTACATTTAGATGAACACTCCCCATGTCAAAACCTTATAACACCAATAACAGAGCAAGAGATAATCATATGCCTCAAGCATATGAAAAACAACAAAGCTAGAGGTCCAGATGATATTCAAATAGAAAGCCTTAAAGCACTAGGAGATGATGGAATACATTTCCTCACAAATCAATAAAATACTTGGAAATGAAGAGGTTCCTCAAAAATGGAGGCAGAGCTATCTAGTTCCTATCTTCAAAATAAAGGGGACCCACACAATTGTCAAAATTACAGGGGCATAAAATTAATGTCACACTGTCTAAAACTATACGAAAAAATAATAGAAAAAAGATTAAGAGACATAATCGAAATAGGAGAGACACAGTTTGGCTTTATGCCTGGAAGATCAACAACCGATGCTATCCATGCAATTAGGCAAATGAGTGAAAAATACAGGGAAAAGAACAAAAAGCTACACATGGTCTTTCTCGATCTAGAAAAGGCCTTCAATAGAATCCCAAGAAATTATCTGGTGGGCGCTACGCCACAAAAATGTTCCCGAAAAATATATAAGAATAATACAGGATATGTATATGGGCCATACAACAATGGTCCGTAGCACAACAGGTACTTCAGCAGGCTTCACAATAGCCGAAGGAGTTCATCAAGGGTCGGCTCTCAGCCCACTTCTCTTCATTACAGTAATAGATGTATTAGCACAGTCTATACCTCAAACAGTCCCGTGGAATATTATCTTTGGATGATATTGTGATACTTGCCGAATCCAAGGATGAAATGAAAGAAAGATTAGTGAGTTGGATAAATATCCTAGAGAAGCACGGACTAAAAGTAAATAGAGAAAAGACGGAATATATGGTGATAGGAGGAGATGAAACAGAGTATTGATATAAATGAATGGCAGATATCGGCAATTGAAAGCTGCAAATATTTGGGCTCCACTATACAAACAAACGGCACAATAGAAAAAGAGTAAAATTAATCAAGAGTGGTTAAAGTGGAGATCTTTATCTGGAGTGCTATTTGACAAAAGAATCCCACACAAATTAAAGGGAAAATTTTGCAGTTCCATAACTATTCTATATAGTTCAGAAACATGGCCAACCAAGGAATCAGACGAGAGAAGCCTACAAACTATGGAGATGAGAATGATGAGGATGATAGCTGGGGTAACTGTCGTAATGAGAAGTATATATGTTTCGTTTTATTATTTTTGTACGCCGTTAAGGTCGTATTTTTATTCTCATTGTAACAATAATGTTGTTTATGTTGCAATGTTATTTTAATAATTTTTTTTTTTATTTAAAAAGAGATTTCTTTTATTTCCTTTCGCGAAAAAAAATATTGATTTTGTCTTCTCAAAAAAATAAAATATATTTTTGTTATATTTTTGCATGAAATATATAATTGAAATAAAGGATTTTTTGACGGAGTTTTTTTTATGTCGTTCAATTTCTTTTCGGCTTACGTAATTTAAGTCTATTAAGTTGAGTTTTTCAGTTTTAGAAAAATTTAGTAAGGATAAAGTGCGCAGTACAAGAATACTAAGTAGTTTAAAGGTAGTGCATATTACTAAGTTAATGGTAAACAGACTTAGGTGGTATGGGCACACAATGAGAAGGCCTATGAACTACATAGGAAATGAGGTTGAGAGTTTGGAAGTGATGGGCAAACGTAAAAGAGGAAGGCCAAAACTTGGTAACTAACGGTATCTCGGGGAAATTTTCGATATTATTATTTTTTTTATAGTTTTTTTTTAAATATTTTTTTTTATTTTTATTTATTTTTTTTATTAATGAATAAAAAAATAGATAAAACTAGATATTCATAATATACTAGAGAATTAAGATTTTTTCTTGAAATTTTCAATTATTTAAGATTCTATTTAAGATTTATTCTTAAAATTTTCAATTATTTAAGATTCATTTAAAATTTTTCAAATACTAGATATTTAAGATTTTTTTCTTAAAATTTAAATTTTCTAAAACTATATAATCATAATATACTAGAGAATTAAGATTTTTTCTTGAAATTTTCAATTATTTAAGATTCATTCTAAAAATTTTCAATTTAATTTAAAATTTTGAATCAAATACTAAATATTTAAGATAAAAATATAATCATAATATACTAGAGAATTAAGATTTTTTCTTGAAATTTTCAATCAAACTCTAGATAAATAACCAATTTATTTGAATAAACACTGATAATATAGTTATATATATAATTTTTTTTCTTAAAATTTTCAATCAAATTCTAGATAATTAACCAATTTATTTCAATAAACAATGATAATATAGATATACTAGTTGATAACCCGTCAAAAATGACGGGGAATATTCTTTTTAATGAAACAATATCTCTTATTAGCACCCTAAATACTATCATTATTTACCAGAGCTCCTGTTAGTCAGAATTGCTGTTCACTCCCCACCGCGTGAAGGTAGGAGATGGATTTTAGGGGAGCAAAGATATGAGAAAAAGAATGAACAAAAGAAGGAAGAAATAGAAAAAAAGAGACAAAGGTATGAATTATAAGAAAATATAATAAATATTTATATTTCAAGACTTGATGATTATCGGGTTACAACACATATGCATTTGTAGCCATATAAAAATATAATATAATAAAATTTATAATATCAAAAATTTTACAAAAAAAAGGAGATTTAAAATATTTTCAAAATTGAGAGGGATGTAAGCTTGACTTTTATTTGTTAATGTTTTGCCTTGGCTCGTAGTTTGCCGTAAATAACCTGAAATAAAACGTGTAAATTTAAATTATAAAATAGAATTTACTGTTGTTGGTGATGAAGATGGTTTAGCGATGGTGAATGGGATATTATTTATTTGAGGTGTATACAATATTTTGAGAAATTTTAATGAAGAATGAAGCATGATAAAAATGGGTAGCTAATGTCATTTCAAGAGATTCCATTATTGTTGGCATAGTTTGGGGTGTATTGTGAGATTTATTTTTGTTTGTCAAATAGCTAAATATAATTTAAAGAATAGTTATAAGATCTAAATTTTAATAATTACTTTTATGAAATTTTAATCAAGAATGAAGGAAGCATGATAAAAATGGGTAGCTAGATTCCAATATTGTTGGCATAGTTTGGGGTGTATTGTGATAATTATTTTTGTTTATTAAATACTTTTATGAAATTGGTATAGTTTGGGGTCGTATTATGAGCTATATGGTTGTTTTTCAAATAGAGAAATATAATTAAAGTATATTTATAACTCTATATTGTAATTATTACTTAGGAGTGGATAAATCTTTATTTCATTGGCACCATAATAGATTATTATATAATTGAGGTGTATACTATATTATGTGTGAATATCTTTTTATTAGAGAGTAAATATCCTTGCATTTTAATAGGAGCAATCATAACTTTAGTATTTTTTTGGAAGTACATCTACTTAAAGCAGCATAAAGTTGGCCATGAGAAAACACAGGTTCTGGTAGATATAAACCTACATGATCAAATGTTTGACCCTGACTTTTATTAATAGTAATTACAAAAGCTGGGATAATTGGGAATTGTCGACGTTTTAATACGAAAGGTAGTTGTGATTCGCTTGGCGCTAAATCTATGCGAGGTATAAAAACTCTGTAACCTTTGTTTGTGCCTGTAATTATTTCAGCATCCAAAAAATATTTATGCATGCCTTTTATTATTAAGCGAGTTCCATTACACAATCCGCGTATGGGTACAATTGTAAAGATTTTTATCTTCCTACTCCTGACCCTATCCCTCAATCTAATTTATATGATGCTATAATAGAGGCAGATACTGCATGTGTAATGGTAGCTAATCTTAATTTATTACAGCGTAACGCTTTTGATAAAGTTATCCAGGCTATTGCCGATCCCCTAAATATTTTTACATAGATGTTCCCGGTGGATCAGGCAAAACATATCTGTACAATACTCTCATGCATTATCTTAGAGGACAACATAAAACTGTCTTACCATTTGCTACCACAGGTATATCTTCTATCCTTCTTATAGGTGGAAGAACTATCCATAGTGGTTTTAAACTTCCAGTACCAATTTTAGATACATCCGTTTCACGCATGAAACCTAATTCAATAGAGGCTCAGAACCTTATGCACACTTAATAATTATAGATGAAGTAAGTATGATGACTAAACATGCTTTACGGTGTATAGATTTATTACTTAGAGATATTATGCAAACATCCAACCCCTTCGGTGGTAAGGTTATCTTATTAGGAGGAGATTTTAGACAAACACTTCCTGTTATACCTAGAGGTACTAAAACATCTATATTAGAATCGTGTATAAAATGTTCACCTCTATGGCATATTTTTTTGCAACTTAAATTAAAAGATAATATGAGAATTTTAGACGATGATTCTGAGTACAATAATGGGCTCTTACAAATTGGCGAAGGTAAACACCAACCGTATCCCCCCTTACTTCCGACTATGTTGAAATTCCTCTAACAATGATAGAGGAATCTTTAATATAATCTATATATGGCGATTTCAATTTACTTAATAATGTTGAATACCTAGCGCAACGTATTACTTTAACAACAAAAAATAAAGTAGCATTGGCATTAAATAATGATATAATTTCAAAATTACCATCTCCAATTAAACATTACTATAGTTCAGACTCATTAATTTCAGATAACGTTGATGATTCTAATAATTACCCCGAATTCTTACATTCACTAACACCTTTGGGCATGCCTCCTCATATATTATCCCTAAAGGTTGGTACTATCGTAATTCTTCTACGAAATTTGAATCC